CTAGCTCTTTCTCTCTGTTTAAAACATCTGCTGACCCATTTTAGAAAAATACATGGAGGGGGGAAAGTTTGGGGGGGGGGGTTGGGGGGAAAAAAAAAAAAAAAAAAAAAAACCGAAAAAGGAAAAAGTTCACCTCACAGGAAACAAAATGAACTCCACAGAGCGCTCTATTCTGGAGCAGGCTGGCAGGGCCTTAATAATGTGAATACAACAGGGGCCTTAAAGCATCTCGTAACGGAATCTTTTGCGAAGTATCGGACCTCTTCCAAAGAGCCGGGGTTCATTACTCTCTGGAAAGGGGTTTATTTAATTCTCCCTCCTTCCACCCCCCCCGCCCCCAACCCCTACCCCGTCCTGACCGGAGAGGAGGCCCTGTAACAGAGTAAAAAGGCTCGGAGTTAAAAGAAGTCTATGGCGCTGCCCCGCAAAAACTCGGTTGGTGTTGGTGGGGGGGTGCACAAGTATGACTGATGTAAAGGTCTTTGCCCACTTACACAAAAGAGGAAAATATAATGAATAAGCAGACAGAGGCGAACGCGGGGAAGGGCATCCGCGCTGTGTTCGGCCGGCCCTCATTATCTCCCTTTGAGTTCGCGGCTGGCATGTTTGTTTCCTGTCTTAATTAAAACTTTTGCTCCTCGACTTTAGAGGATTGGCATTCTTTCTGCGGCGGGTGACGCACGGACGGCTCCCCTGCGCTCGCCTCGCAGTCCCTGCCAAGCGGGCTTTAAACCGCTTTACGAGCACGGGGGGGGGGGGGGGGGGGGTGGGAGGCAGCGTGCTTGTGTTTAACGTCCGCATTGACACGGTCCTCCGTTTCTGCTGTATTTCGACGGGTTTAATATCTCTGGATCTGTGGTTTCATAAGGATTTGTGCCTAAAAAAAAATTTGCACATTTTCAAACCAAAGTTCTAGAGTAGTATCATGTATCATTGTTTAAATAAACACAACCCATTCACAGAAAACAGCCAATACATTTTGAGGAGCACATCTTCTGTCCACCAATCATCTGTGTAGAAAATGACCTCCCCCCACGCCCACTTCTGCTACATTAATCCAAGTCACAGAACAGAACTTTCACAATAGCACCTATGTGCAATCTCTCTCTCTCATATTGATCGCTCATTGCCTCAAATACCGAATGGCACAGCCTGTTTACCCTCCGTATTAAACGGCCTTAATCAATCACTCTCTGGGAGTGTCGCCAACCAAATATTTTGACATCGTACGTCATTCGCCAAACAAAAAAAACAAGACAATGCACAACAGATGTGTAATTGAAGGGACTGGCAGCACATCCACTGGAGACTGGAAGCGGGCTCTGATAACAATTTCACGGTGGTGCTAGGATGAGCTCTTAAAAATCAACACAGCTCAATTTCGGTTAAAATAAATACATTTTAAAAATCTCTAACGCTATCAACTTTCCTGCTGAGAGAGGCTTAACTGCTTTCTGCAAAAAAAAATTATACCCCCCCTCCCTCTCTGAAACGCGGTGTCCCTCAAAGTGGGAGATTAGAGCAGCGGGTGTGTAGGTGATTTGCGATTCCCTAAGCCACTCCACACAACCGTGCGTCACGTGCGCGGGGCCTGGCTGAAGCGGGCCGCCGGCCCCCGGCGTTTATGGAGGGCCATTGTTTGGGCCGTACAATCGCGGGACTGTGACTCCATGATGTAAGCCCTGCTGATCACAGGCATCATGTGCCGAGCTCAATCCGCGCCCTGCGGCGTGACCGGGGGTCACGAATCGTGCGGGGGGGGGGGGGGGGGGGGGGGGGGGGGGGGGGGATTGGGGGGTGGAGGGTGATGGAGTTTTAGGGTTGGCAAATATCCCCGAAATACCATACACAGGGGTATTAGAAACTACCAGCTACTGTTATGGTTTAGGGAGTCACTTTTACCCAGTGGGACTTCCACGGTTCACATCTTTTCCACACTATACATTTATACGCAGCTGCATATTCCGCTGCTCAAGGTTATAACAGCTGAGCCCCATCCATTACATACAGTCATTTAGCTGACGGTTTGATCCAAAGCAACTTACGGCTGATTAGGCTAACGAGGGGGCCAATCCCCAGTGGATTAATGACGGGTAGGGAGCACTTGGGGATCAACGTGGGGGTTAAGGGCCCTGCCTTTTGTCACCCAGACCACATTTTTAAAATACGTACTAAGCAGGAGTGCAGCTTCAACCCAGACATTCAACACAGCTTTGTTTAGTGTTAATAATGAGTCACCACTACCGCCCTAGGGCAACGTTTTGAAGTCGCCTTAAAAAAAAAAAAAAAAAGTGAAAAACTTGCGGATAGGCTTCTCATTACTGCTTGTTTTAAGGGGCAATCCATAACTCCTGCATTGCAGAGGTTATGCAGCCTCTACCACACACTGCCCCCACCCACCCCAAACAAGTGGAAAACCTGAAAATGTTACAGTATCTAAGGTTTTTGCCGTTCAGTTTATCCCGCTGGAAACCTGAAATGAAGATGCTCTCTGGACAAATAAAGTTTGCTAATGCTACACTGAAGCTTCCGTCCAAATGATCTTTTTCCATTGGCTTGTGCCCAGTGGAGCTCCAGATTTGTAACTGTAAAGGAGTAACAGAAAACAGTATGAATATATCCCTTAGTAAGACACCTGATCGCTTGTTCTGTAAAGCCATAGGGTTGTTTTGAACTTTTGGACCACATCTGTGATTAATTACTAGCTGTCCACTCACCTGAAGTGCTAACATTGCTAATTCCTGTGTATGCAGTTTCACATTATATATTAGCTTCCTTATGCTAAGGTTCCTTTAGCTGTGCTTACACAAGTTCTGACACCATGTACCCTTGTCATTTTTCAGGCTGGTATGACTGTATGAAAATCTACTAATGGCCCCACATTTATTGCAGTGGGTAAGCTGCTATCTATATAATTTAGAGGACTTGCATTCATTACTGATACTAACTGGATGCTGGGCTGGCATGCAGCCCAGACTATCCTACCTTTGCAGTAACACTTCACTATAAAATAATACCCCTTTCCCCCTGCAGAGCTGGAACCAGTCTGGCTCATTATACCCCCTTTCACAATGTAGAGCTGGAACCAGGCTGTCTCATTATACCCCCTTTTCCACTGTAGAGCTGGAACCATGCTGGCTCATTATACCCTGTAGAGCTGGAACCAGGCTGGCTCATTATACCCCCTTTCCCACTGTAGAGCTGGAACCAGGCTGTCTCATTATACCCCCTTTCCCAATGTAGAGCTGGAACCAGGCTGGCTCACTTAGGTTATGCTGTGTGTAATTTTCCTTGAGCTTATCAGTCAAATTGACCAATAACAGCATGGCCTTCTAGTGCCACTGGTACGGTCTTGACAACAAGCTAGCTGTGGGTGGAGTCAGCAAAGTACAACACCAAAGGGTTCTTCCAAGAACTACAGCAATAAAAATAAGGTGATTGTTATTTATGATGTAGGAAAAAAATTCCAAAGTGCACAAGCATTACAGAAAATACACAACAAATCAAATAAAACCAGACAAGAATCAGTGGTTCTTGGAAAAGACTCAAGATTGGGAGATTACTGTCATACCAAGCTTTAAATTGGGCAAATTGGCACTTGAAAACTTTCTGATAACAACATGCCAACAGGTGTGAGTAATACATAGTAACAGGTCAAATGAGGTCCACCAATCAGAGGGAAGGGAGGATTTGACGGTAAACATGTACCTGCCAGAAAAAAACAGTCATTCCCATGACCACAGTCTGCTCATTCATTTGTCTCAGACTTGTCTGACAGGAGCTACCACAATGAATGTCAGAACCTTGCTCCTGGTCTTTATTTATTGTGAAAAACACACACATAAACACAGAAACACAGACAGACAGACAGACGTGCAAGCAAACCAATTCTCTCTCACACACAAACACTTACACAAACATGCTTGCACAGTCACATACACACAAACAAATGCATACACATGCATCCACGCAGACACACACACATACACATTGCAAATGTGTACACACAAACACAAACAAATAGACAAACGCCAACTGCACATCAAAAAGTTTTGACTTGCCAGTTTTCCCATACAGACTGAGCGGTGTTTTGTATGAAGTAGCGGTTTAAGGAACGGGGCCAACTGAGAGATTTCAGGTTCAATTCAAAGGCGTGGCACTGCTGTTGTACCCTTGAGCGAGGGACTTAATGTTAATTACTTCAGTAAATATCCAACTGTATAAATGGATAATATACAGAGGGAAACATAAGCTGTGTTATTTGCTGAGGATAAGAAACCCCGCCAGGCTAAACACATCATTTCGATAATGCTAATGCTACTGCTGGAAAAAATATATTACGTCAGTAAACACCTCGTAATAGGTGCACACGTCCCTGACCGCAAAATAACTCGTTCCCTCCAAAATGCACATCCAGTCTGCTGCCCGAGGGGCTTCTCCTTGTCGTTTGACAGAGAATGAAAAAAAACAGCGCACCAGAAGCATTTTCTCCATTTCTCATATGGGCGCTTCCCAAGTGGGTATGGTAGCCCATTGTGACTCCAGGCAAAAACTTTCTCCACAACAGCCTCAAATTATCCCTCACCTTTTAAACTGAATGGGTTTCTCCACACCTGCTTAATGAATTTGAGCCACTGCGTTACTTTTCTATTGGTCTCAGTTGACTGATTCCATCTCAAGACCTTAAGAAATGCATTCCCCCTGAATTCCGCGACAGCCAATTGGTGTTGTTTTTTTAAACTAAAAAGCTTATGGGGAAAGAAAAGACTTAAGGCTCAGCTTATTATTTACAGTTAAGCCGCAGTGGGGATTCTTTTTAAAATGACACCACATGTCCCATATCCATGCAATGTGCGTAATTTAAAACACACAGAGCAACACTTGATTTGCACAGCGTTGTTCGCTTTCGTCCGCCTGTGATAAACTCAGTGCCTGTGAGCTGGCTTCTCACATGTGGTGTGGCCTGTTTACACAGCTGGGTACTGAAATGAATGAGGCTGTGTATCCACTGGGGTTCGATCCCACAACCCTGGGGTCCAGGGTCCTGTGCCCTAACCACTACTCCATATATCCAGGAGCACAATGGGTAGACTAAATGGCTAAAGAGGCTAAAGTCACACTGAAGACACAAAGCCACACTCCTTGCATAGAGTGAGGTTAAGCTGTGATGGAGAGGTGAGAAGTGATGCTGTGTTGCCATATCTGAGCAACGTGCAGACGTTGTCACGACTCCCGGATACTGTCGGCATGATGAAGCCCCTGGCCCCCACACCCAGCACCTCTCTCACTCTCTCCCACATTCCCACCCACCGTAGCTTCGGGCAGTTGGCAGGGATACAACCAAAGCAAGAGACTAAATCCGGCTCACGGGAAAAAAAAAAAAAAAATGCACGCGGCACTCATCCTTTAAACAATCCCACATTCGCCCCTAATCCAGAGCGTGCTCCCTGCCAGCATGCCAAGAGGGCCGGGATGGCAACCATCAGCGAAGTGGCCCGTCCGTTGATAAACACAGAGAGCAAGATAACACAAGGGAGCCTACAGTGTTAAACTATGAGACGAACCCAGAAGAGCCAGGAGTACTGAGACTGTGCGTGTGAACTTCAGGTGGTGAGGTTTAATGCGTTAATGAATGTGATTAGTTTAAAACCTTTCACCTGTTAATACTTTCCAATGCAATTAATCACATTTTTTTTTTTATGTTGAGCCTTCTGCGCTCTCCAACTCCAGCCATAGCGGATTTTGTCACAGCTGGGGCTCGAACACCCAGTCCTAGGGCTCACATCTACTTCCCAACGTTAAATCAACATTAAATGAAGCCTTATATTAATAAACTAGTTTGTTAGATGAACTGACTCACTGATAAAGAATTTGTTTCCCTGAACCTGGTCCTTCATTTAGCCTATGTCTTTAAATGGCCACAAAGAGCCGGGGCAGATTTTCTCTGGTCTCGATTTATTGATTCAGGTTTGTTTTCAAACTGAAGAGGCAGAAAACTTCTGAGGCTGCAACAACCAGTTCTGTGACATTTTTTCCCCATTTTGAAGTATTATTAAGACAAGATTTGATTCAGTTTGGGACTTCCTTGTGATTATTTCATGCCCATTCTGCTACAAGTACATTCAGCAACAATGTCAGTTTTTAAATGTAAATTTAGCCTGCAACTAAATATGTGACTAATCAAAATGAGTCAGTGAAATTTTGAGATTAAATATCATTTGATATGGGATAATTCCATGTCAAATCAAAAAGGCATAAGACATCGGACTGTTATGAAATCTGTGGTTAAAACAGATATGACAAACACTGGAACATAATATTTTAGAAAAATAATGTGAGGTCTGAGAAATTCAGTTCTGGTGACATCAATTAGTTTAACACTGTCATAGGATATATATAGTATTAAGTAAATATGGGTTCCTTAAATCCAATTTGGGCCAATTTGTATGTATGTACATGTGTATTTCAAATAGTCAATTTTGGGGTTTATAGCCCCAACCTCCTTGTAATTTGGGAAAGTACAAACGAGTTTAAAGACAAGCCAATGCTTCTTTCCACAAGGAGTGACACAAGTTAAGCACAAGGTTCATATGTAGCTTAAAGGAGACACTTCAGGCATTCGATTGGCAGGAAAGAGTTGCTGATGTGCATATTCCACTGAAGGGTGAAGCTAACAGGCTACAACAATGCTCTGCTGTGGAGGTTTCCTTATAATACTGTCCATTCACACTGCTAGCCAATCAGGCAAGACTATGCTTTAGGGGTGCCATGCAGTGCCGAAACTAGGATTTGAACTTGCACACCCCTGCTCATTCATGCCAAACCTGCTCACTCCTGCTCATTTGGGAGTCAGCCAAAGGGAGGAGACTGGAGCAGGTCTCTGTCCGCTCATCAGCAATGACAGGAAGTCCTTGGGGGAAGTTCACACTTGTTGCGTTTCCAGACAAGTGCCGGTTCCTTCCTGTGCAGTCACTGACAACCAGAGATCACGGAACAGCCGGAGAGAATGTTTCTGCCCTTGATCTCTAACACACACATGCACTCTCAAAGAGTCAGACTTACACATTCACTTCCTATTGCACTTGTTCTGATGCCAGAGAATATTTATCCAACGAATAGCTGATGTGACTTGCGTTGGGTATTTTCTTACCACTTATTTTTTGTATCTGATGGTATGCCAAATACATTAAGAGAAACATATCCAATTGAACGTGATCAAAAATTCACAGCAAAGTCCAGTACAGTTCAATTCTTACAGGGAACTTCCTGGATATACCAGCCCTAAATTCAAACCGCCATTTTAAAAAGGAAAAATAAGGCAACATTAAACATTGTACTCTTAGCATACCTGGGGGACAGCTTCTTCCCAAGGTCTTGCCAAGACGAAAAAGAAAGTAAACTTCTTACAGTATTGGAACTTACAGTATATGGACTTCATCTGCATCAACTAGGCGGCACAGATGACAGCCAGTGAAATTAATGGCCGCTCTTCAGAAATGAGCGGGTTTTTAATACCTATTTTTGTGCTAATTATTCTCCGTTCTCTTAACGATCTGCATTGAGCGCGGAGCAGAATGATCGTGGCAGGGTTGTGGAGAGACAAAGCCCGGAGGGGAGCGGGGCGGAATATTCTGTGGAAAGGAACGTGCCAAATTACGTCCCTGATCCCTATCAGTGCTCCCAATGGAAATAGCTCCATTATTGTAATGAATTGGCTGATCACCTCGTGGTGACACTAAATGCAGGGGGAACGGCGTTGCCAGATTTGTCCCCGTCTTTTTGCCTTTAATAGAGAGAGGGAGGATCGTCTATGGTTAGCATTTGGGTCTCGGTGTGACTGCACGATCGGATAACGGGTCTGTAATCGACGGGGGCGTTTAGGTCTTTTGTCTGAACTGAAACGACCTCCCTGACGACGAGCTGCCAGTTTCTTGAGTTTTGATTGGACAAAATTAAATGGAATCCATTCAGACACAAAGGGACGATCAGGGGTCACGGAAATGTCATTTTAACAAAAATTACTGTGGATTGCCCCATTTGAGCTCCCACATACACACAGAAAACAAGTGTGAATTCTGTATAGAGCTGTTCCTTTTGGGAGGCTGCAGTGAAAATCAGAAAGAGATGGGTCTAAACTGAAGGAGTTAAACACACAGGGAGAAGAAATCTTATGAATATTTTAACAGACCTTCCGATTTTAATGGCCGCCCCTGTCGTTCTCTTGCATGTGTATGCGAGTCGGGGGCAGAGGCTGTAGGAGGTGCACAAGACCCGTGTCCGCTGAGACTGGGCCTCTGCCCCCATGTGCCCCCCTTACCCCCCAACCCAACCTCCCCCCATTCGCTGATGTGGTTACATAAGGATGTTAAACTTTAATTACCCCCTGTGCTTCTCTTCGCCTTATAAAGCACGGGGGCATGTTCATGGCTCTGTGCTGTTTCGGATGGGGGGGTGGGGATGATGTTCCGCCCTCCGTTCCTCAGCCCCGTTTAAACTGCTGTCAGATCAAATGAGCGCGGTGGGCAAGGTGACGGGCCTGCGTTTGTTTACCCGGGGCGGCGGGTCTTGGTCTCTCTCTTTCTCTCTCTCTCTCACTCTCTCGCTGTCTTGCTCTCTCATGACAATTGCACTCTGTGCCGTTCTCCTGTGTGCCAGTCCAACCATAAAGACAGTGACCATACACACAAGCACCAAGCTTCCGTTGACATAAACAACAGGCGCACATACAGCACATATACAAACCAGATTCCATTTAAATTCTGTCTCCTACAATAATGCGGAAATTCCAAATTTTTTTTACATACATGTACAAATTTCGCTCTGGTAGTTCCAGCAAACCATGCTCACTTAACGTTAAACCAAAGCATAAGCTAGGAGACTAAGCCACACCCCAAATGTACAACTCAGCATTGTGTAAGGAAACACAAAAAGTGCGCAAGAGGAAGAGGCCCTCTTTCAAATAGTGACAGTACGACATGAGACATCCACAGACCAAACTGAGCTTTAATGAGGCCTTCTTCCATCTCACAGCCTGTAAACACAGCCTTTTCCATTACAAGCTGCAGAGAAATACTGTGTGTGTGTGTGTGTGTGTGTGTGTGTGTGTGTGTGTGAGAGCGAGAGACGTTTTTACATGTACTTTCCCCAAGTAAGATAAGATCATCTGAGGCGAAGAGACTAAATGTAATGTAAAGTAGACAGAGAGAGATCGCACTAGTGGCAGCCAGTGAGATACATTAGACAAGCTGAGAGCTTAGCTCTACATGAATAATGGCTTTAAACCTGTTTCTTCAGTGATTAAATGGCTTCCCAATTTTAGAAAGACCTATCAACCGCCAATCACGAATTGCACATGAAATGGCTTTAACCTTAATAACATTTTGGTTACGTTATATTGTTTCGATTATAACAAAGGCAGAGATAGGTTTTTAATTTGAAACCAATTTTCTTGTTATATCAGAAAGTGCGTAAGGGAAAATCTTACACATCGAGAGAGAAAAGCAATTCAGCGTTCGGTGATGATTCATGTCTAAATTTGAGTTCACGAAGCAATCTCGAACATCAATCAGGACGAAAATCAAATGAAACGGTATCCTGGTTCTGTAACCTATCTGAAGCTCAACGGGTACACTTCAAAATTATCGCAAAGACTTTAAAAGACTACAGCATCGGGTCGATACAAAACGTTCAGAAAATTAATCTGCACAATAGTTTTCCCTCAGTGTCATTATACAGAATGTGGCCGTACAGAATACATTTTAGTAAAACAGCTCATAATAAATGACACAATGTAATGCAATTATTGCGATACTTTTGTATATAGTGAATTAGTGATGCAACGATAATGGAATTTGCCAATAATGTAACCGATGTTTGCTTCAAATAAGAGAAAGGTCTGCCAAAAGGCCGTGGGTCATATAACAAAAAACAAAAAACTGAAAGTAAGACACAGGAGAGAGGCCATGGGGGTTAGACAGGGATGAAAATCAGTCAAAGCAGAAGATGACAGGAAGGCAGTGGGGAATGATGGAGGGGCTGGATGAAAAACAAGCTGCGGTGCTCAGAAAACGAGA